AGGGGCGACAGCAAAAAGAAAACACGTGTGCGTGCAGTGTGGGGCGGGGGGAGGAAGTGTTCGCTTGCTCATGTTGGGGGCTCCCTTTTTTTTTTTTCCTCTCTCGCTCTCTTTTTTTTTTTTCCCTTCAGTCTTTCTCCTCCTGTGTCTTCCATGGGGTTTTGGAAGTGAGAAAGATCCAAAAGAATCTTAAACTCTCCACCCGTGCCCACTCGCAAATTTCAGATTTTGCTTGGAAAGACTCGGCTAAGAGAAACGTTGCAGGGACACCCCGGCGGGGCCTGTGGGGCTGGGGCACGCGTGTGCACCGCGGGGCATGCGCTCTGCCTCGCTCCGGCTGCCCCGCGACAGCTAACGCTGTGCGTGGGTCCCAAGATGTAAACACATGCACAAGCACAGATGCACACACGGAGCATTTTTTTAATAGCAGTTTCATAGCGAGGTTGTATGAGCCTATATATCTAAAAAGTAATTAATTTGATTTATTATACTTGAAAAATCATGTCTGCAGTACGGGCGTCATCTGGAAACTTCATGCTATTTTATACTATCGTTCTAAAGCCGAAATAAATGTTACGAATTGATGACAGCTTCCAGCTGCATGATAAAAATAGCCCCTTCGCTTCACAGGATCGTGTTTCTTGTTATCGAAGATGAACCAAATCTGACCCATAGAGTTAAGCAGCGAAAAAAAAATAAATTGATATAAAAGACTGGCTATATTTAATATGCAGTGCACCCTAAAAAGTAGTTTGTTTGTGACGAAATGGAACCCACCTTAAAACGTTCAGCAAAGTTGAAGAAATCTACCCTGTGCCTCGTTCAGAATAAGAATTTCAATTATTCATCTCACTGGATGAATTTGAAAAACATACCCATTTTGTTACACACGCTCCATTGTATAGTTGCAATTGCATTAAATAATAGAGGTTACATGTGCCTTCAAAAATATACCTCCGCATAAACACATGTAGCTGTGTCTTTCCAGAAGCACCACTGTTTATATACATATATAAATATATATATAAAAATACAAAATAAAGCCAGCGATGCGAATGGCGATTCCTGTGAGCATGTGTGCATCTGCAACAAAGAGCGGGTGTCCTTTGGATCGTATGCACAAAACAGACAGTGCGCGTCCTCCCTGCAGAC